ATATAGTATCTCAGATTCAAAGCAGTCGTTTCAAAGCTTCCCCAACACTGGTTTCTCCTGTTTCATAAATCCATTGTCCATAATCCATTCTTTCAGAAAATTTAGTCGTGCCTTCTTTTCAAACTCTGCTTGGTTTTCCTAAATGTTGTCTATTTTCATTTTTATTCAGTGCTCCAATTGAATTCTGAATCAGCGCTTTGAACCAGATTTGTAATCGAATTCTTTGCTCTAATGCTTTCTTTTCTCTCTTCCCTGTCTTTCGTCCCTCCCACGTGTCTTGATTGACATGCATGCGCCCTGTCTTCCCGTGTGTGTGTGTGTGTGTGAAGCGCGCAGTCCTCTCGATCACTCTGTGCCTTGCTTTACCACCTTTGAACCTGACGAGCAAATTCAGATGCAGAGAAGCAACAGCATGGGACTTCTCTGTAAGTCTGTAGCTGAAGATTCAGACTGATTCATGCTAGATTTGCTAATCTGTGAGTCTAGAGTTGAAGAAATATACTGTAGTCTGGTTCTTTTTTGAAAGATCAGCTCTAGTCCACTGTATTTCTGCAGATAAGGACCGAAATGAATGATTTTGTGTGTGCACAATATTATAAACGCTTAAAGAAACTTTTAAAAGTAAAAGTCGCCTTAAACTTTAGTTTAAAAATAGTAAGTAGTAATTCTGCTGAAACACATGAGTGTTTCTATGACTGTTATTTATTTTGATAATCTCTTAATAAACCACTGCATTAAAGGATTACAGTTTTATGTAACCTGTCAAACAAGTTACTAAATGAATCTATTGTGATGTAGATACACAAAATGACTTTTATGTGAGACTCTTGGGCCTCTTTGTTTGTATTTTCCAGTGTTTTAGCAGCTGATCAGTGTTTGACCTTTGACCTTGTGTGACCTCTGCAGGTAGTCCGACCACGGCCCATCGTAACCTGACCTCCAACAGCCTGACCGATCTCTCAGACAAACCTGAGAAAGACCAGGTACTGTGAAGTGTGTTTCTGTGCGAATGTAAGTGTGTGAACAGTTTTACCACATGTAGAATTATATATATTCAATATTCAATATGCAAGAAGAATATTATTGGGCCAGAGTGAATCTCATGAAAATGTCTAGGTGACATTTTCCCCAAATTCAAAAAAAAGAAAAAGATGTTGCATAAAATATTTTTTGGACAATTAACCACAGTTCCTCCAAAATTATATTTATAAAATATATAATAGATAAACTTACAGTAACTTTAAAAAACATTTTTACTGTGCATACAGTCCAGTTTTTATATAAATCCCATTATTCTCAATGGTTATTCTCATTAGATTGTTTTTTTTTTAAATCAGCAAATACTACCATGATATAAATACTTGACAATGTTATAATATAATAATGTAAATTTAATTTTTTTTAAAAATATTATAATGTAGTATATATTATATAATAATAATACTTATTTTATTTTTTAATTATTTTAAATATTTTTTGCATCATTTTAATTAAACTCAGTTATGTAAATTAGAGTGTTTTCCATTATATTTTGGTATTTAGCTGCCAAACTATTTTTAATAAAGACATATTTCTTAAATATATTTTAAATAATAACTTTAATAAATAACATTTTTTAAATAAAATAATAAAATTAATCTTTAAATTAATACACACACACACACACACGTATAAAATTTAAATATACATGCTTCGTAATTCAATTATATAATATTGCATATTTATTTAAAATATTACTATTATTTAATTAAAAATATTAACAATTATTCTTCTTATTATCTACATTTAACTAATATTAATAATAATTGTATCATTGAAAAAATACTACAAAAATAATTTCTTTTTTGCATTATAATAATGAGAATTATGGGGAAATGTGCTTAATCACCATGAAAGTAATGGTTTTAAAATAGGCTTCATTTTCTTGACAGTTTTGTGGTATTTTGAATATATATATATATATATATATATAGCCAGGTGTGTTTTTAACAGGTTTTGTGAGATTCTCCCACCAAGCGTTCATTAGAGACAAGATTGATGCCTGTTTCTCCTGTGAGAAGGCTTCAGTCCTGGGTGTGACATCTCTAGGACAGGAATGAGTGCAAAAGGACAAAAGAAACTCTTTTTCAAACACAGTAGCACACAATTGAAACTCAGTGGCTGTCTTTCACACAAGGCCGCTGTCGTCAGTTGTGTCAATATTTGTGGATTAGCGGGAGAGCTTTGTCAATCGCACAGAGCTCTTGTTGTGTGTTATTCACACTGCTGTAATTATACCGATAACCTCAGAAGAAAAACAGCCAAACCGCAAACATTGCACACACACAAGGCCTCTTTTGTGTCTGTGTGTGTTCAGGCTGGATGTCATCCCAGAGTTTAGCGCTAATGAACTGCTTTTGTTTATGCTAGTTGTGAGCTTGTTTCTTTCCACGCTGCTTAAGTCTTATCAGACTTTTATATTCCACTGAAATATGACCTCAAATATAATCTCACGAAGAAACGTATTGCTTCTTTTGATCAGTTCTTTATTAAATTCAAAAATCAAAAAATCAAAGTAGAGTTTAATATGGATCAGAGATATAATATATAGTGAGATACACTGAACAACTTTATGCTTCCATTGTAAATGTATTACTTTAAATACACTTTCCATTTATGCAAAGTTATTTATTTTCTGTGGTAACTAACTGCATGCTTTAAAAATAAGAGCCAGGAAAAGTGTTGTGATTGTTAGCTAAAACATTTAACTAAATTATTAAAAATAAAGCAGAGATCATGTAAATAAATATAAATATTACATGGAAAACATAAACAAAAATTGAATTAAAATGAAATAACTGAAATCAAATAATTGAAGTATTAAAATTACTCAAATTAAATATGAAATTAAATAAAGTAGAAATAGAGATGTTTGAGAGAAACAGAAACTAATAAAAAACATCAAATACACATAACAAATTTACTAAAAAAAACAAAATGAAACTTGAAAATATTAAATAAAAAATAAATAAAAATGTTTAATTCATAATTCTTTAATATTTTATAAAATATTTATTTATTTATATTTTCATTATGTTTATTTATAATATTAAATTATAAATAAATACTATTGTAATACATAAAAATATTAAAATAACACTGGCCTGGAATATTGATATATATATATATATATATATATATAGAGTATATACTCATATATATATGAGTAACATCATGGGCAATTTATTATACAAGATCCAACAATATTTGCATTATAGATGCAATATTGTTGGAGGATTGGCAACATCTGCAGTAATAAACACGGAGTGATTTTCATAGTATCCATAAACCATAAACAAAGTTAATTTAGTGAAAAATCTATTTTTTTTGTTTATCTCTCTAGCTGAATAATAAATTCATGAAGAAGGTTCCCCGAGATGCAGAAGCGTCAAACGTGCTGGTCGGCGAGGTGGACTTTCTGGACACTCCCTTCGTGGCGTTTGTGCGTCTCCAGCAGGCCGTCATGTTAGGAGGACTCACCGAGGTTCCTGTTCCCACACGGTAGCACACTCACTGGATTTACAGGAATAGTTCACCTAAAAATGAAAAACTGCTGAAAAGAAAAGATTTGGAGAAATGTAGCATGACATCACTTGCTCAGCAATGGATCCTCTGCAGTGAATGGGTGCCGTCAGAATGAGAGTCCAAACATCTGATAAAAACGTGGTGTGGATTACTTGTGGATTATTGTGATGTTTTTATCAGCTGTTTGGACTCTCATTCTGACGGCACCCATTCACTGCAGAGGATCAGTTGGTGAGCAAGTGATGCCATGCTACATTTCTCCAAATCTGATGAAGAAACAAACTCATCTACATCTTAGATGGCCTGAGGATGAGTAAATTTTTTTTTAGCAAATTCTCATTTTTAGGTGAACTCTTTCTTTAAAGCTGTGCCATTCACATCCATTACTTGTGATAGTAATAACAATATCTATTTGTATTTGTAGGTTCCTTTTTATTCTGCTGGGGCCCAAAGGAAAGGCCAAGTCATACCATGAGATCGGACGTGCCATCGCCACGCTCATGTCTGATGAGGTGTGTTTATGTGCATGCTAATATAATATTTAGGTGATTTTAGCTGAACTGTGGCCTAAAGCTGTGCGCTTTGGGCTCCTGCAGGTGTTTCATGACATAGCTTATAAAGCGAAAGACCGCGGTGACCTGCTGGCAGGCATTGATGAGTTCCTGGATGAAGTCATCGTGCTTCCTCCAGGTGAATGGGACCCTGACATCAGGATTGAACCTCCTAAATCCATCCCGTCTGCAGATAAACGGTACCAGCAACCAATGACCATACCACACCGCCCTGCATCATATCTGATGAATGAAATCCAATACTTGTTGTTGCTTACTAATTTTGGGCTGCTGATTCCAAAAATAGTGTCTGTTTTGCTCAAGCATGTCACTCTTTCTCACAAAATATGATGCATTTTTGCTTTTGACAATCATTCATAAGGTAAAAAAGTCTTGTTTTATCCTTTAGTCAGCAGAAACACAGCCATAAACATGTGATCCCTGTCTGAACCTGAGCCAGATTACAACTATTTATTCAATTCTCAGGACTTTCACATGTATGAATGACACTGAAGAAATAAATTTTTGCCTAATCCTGATTTTTACACGCCTTTGCAGATTATAAGTTAAATTAAACATTTTGAATGCTTCTTTTTGTCATCAAAACATTTGATGTTTGATTGCTTTTGTTAGTTTAATAAGTGCATTAAAGCTGATACATATATATAATTGAAAATCTTCATTCTTTTTTTTTGTGAAAAACTGTATGTGATGCAAAGTTTTTATTGGTGTTTTTGAATCAGCATCATCAAATTAGGTAATATTAAAACGAAAACCAATGAAACTGAGTGTGTGTGTGTGTGTGTATGTGTGTGTTTAGTAAAAACAATATTGCCGGAGGGGAAAGTCTTCAGATGAACGGCGGTACTCCTCATGACGGGAGTCCAGCAGGCGGCGGTGGCCACGCGGTCGGTGATGAACTGAAATTTACTGGCAAGTAAGTATATAAACACACACTAATACATGTTCATGAACACTTGCTTTATTAACAGTTAACTTGAGTTTATACTGGCCTTTGTTATTTCTACACTGTGAAAAGTGCAGAAAATTGCAGTTATTGTATTTACACAATCATTCAAAAGTTTGAGATTTAAGAAATTTAAATGTTTTTGAAAGAGCTCAACCAAGGCTGCATTTATTTGATCAAAAATCTAATAAAAACAGTAAAATTGTGAAATATTATTATAATTCAAAATAACACTTTTCTATTTGAATATATATTCAAATGTAATTTATTCCTGTGATCAAAGCTGAATTTTCAGCATCATTACTCCAGTCTTCAGTGTCACATGATCCTTCAGAAATCATTCTAATATGCTGATTTGCTGCTCAAGGAACATTTCTTATTATTATCAATGTTGAAAACTCATATTTTTTTGTGGAAGCCATGATTTCAGGATTCTGCGATGAATAGAACAGTATTCATTTGAAATAGAAATCTTTGTAACATTATAAATCTCTTTACTGTCACTTTTGATCAGTTTAATGTGTCTTTGCTATAAAAGTATTCATTCATGCTTAATCAGACCCTTAATACTTACTTTTGTTGCATGCCATATTAAAAACAATTGTAATTTTTTTTTTTGCTTTAATAAAAGAAGTTATTTTTTCAGGTTACCTGACCAAACATTTTTCAGTAAGAGAAAACAATCTCTTTCTCTTGTAGGTTTTGCGGCGGTCTCATTCTGGACGTCAAGAGGAAGCTCCCGTTTTATGCCAGCGACTTTTACGACGCTCTCAACATACAGTCTCTGTCTGCCATTTTGTTCATTTACCTGGGAACCATCACAAACGCCATCACCTTCGGAGGGCTGCTGGGAGACGCCACTGACAACATGCAGGTTCGACGCTTCACCTCTTTTTCTGAGTGTCTTATCGCTGTGAGTTTGTATTATACTAGTGTCAGATGGTTTGGCTGAGCTAGGTTTATTCGGGAGCTCGATTCGTTGTGTTCACAGCTCTGGGGATTTAAAGGAGACATATTATGCCCCTTTTTACAATATGTAATATAAGTCTCTGGTGTCCCCAGAATGTGTCTGTTAAGTTTCAGCTCAAAATACTCCACAGATTATTTATTATATCATTTTGAAAATGCCTATTTTGAGTGGAAGCAGAAACATGCTGTTTTTCGGGCAAACAAAGTTACTGAGTTAATCTTGTTCACGTTTCCTTGGTTGGTAGATGCACCGGGGACCTGATTATAGCACTTAAAACCTGGAAAAGTCAGATTTTCATGATATGTCACCTTTAAAGGCCACAGACAGCTGTTTGATTATTAAACATGTCACGTCAAACATATGTCATGTGTTTCCTAGATCGGCCGTTTGGAAACAGATGTACATGTTGGGATTTGATCCGTGCTATACTGAGAGTGACTTTTCTTCGAACAACTGTGTGTATAAATAGTGTCAGGATTGTGCGTTGTACTTTCAGACATGTGCAGTGACCGCAGAGTTTGCGCATATATATTTAGCAGTGCATGTATATGCCGCAAGCTAAGGAGGATCAGCTATAAATAGCCTCAGATAACACACAAGCGCGCACACACACATAAAATCACACAAATACACTTCAGAAAAATCCCTCTAAAGGAATCCTTCTCCTGACCTCTGCCCTTTACCTATAAAGCCTGCCTCAGATACGCAAATTAAAGCTTTAGATGCAGATTGCAGGTTGGCGAATTGATTTTTTTTTGCCTCATAAGTTTAAAAAACCTTGAAGATAACTTGTGTTTGGAGGTAAATATGTATACATATCAGATACGTAAACACAAATCTGAATGCAGAACAGTTTAAATATGCTGTGATAGGCCTTTGGACCATGTAAGTTGATGGGATTTTAAAAAACATTACTGTTTATCAGTTTTAATGATAAAAACAAAAATATGTAATAATGATAACTAACAATAATTTATATATTTATTATTAATTAATAGTAATGATTAAATATATTATTATTATTTATTTACTTTTTAACTGTTGTTGTTATTATTATTATCGGCACATTAATAATAATCACGATTAATAATTCTTTCACTATCCAACTGAAGGCTTATTGTCATTTTAATGGTTTGTTGTTCAACGATTTATTGAATTAATAATAAACAGCAACCATTATATAATAGTAATAATCATAATAATACTTTTTTGTTATTAAGAATAATTAATGATTATTATTATTATAAAATTTTAAATATACATTATTATTATTATTATTATTATAAATTAACATAATAATCACAGTTAATAATTCATTCACCCTCCAACTGTAGGCTGTTTATCATTTTAATGGTTGATTGTTCAGTAAATTATTGCATCAATAAACAACAACAACAAGAATAATTCATGTATTTTTAATAATTATTTATTATTCAGTGTATTGTTATTATTAGTAGTAGTATTAGTATTATTGTTATTATTTAATTATATTATTTATTAAATTAATAATAATAATAATAATGCATTATACTATAAAAAAGTCAATAAAAAATAGGGCCCAGATATACTGTGTTAATATGAAGGAAGTTTCCATATTAATTGTTTTATAGGTGTTTTACTGTAATACTTTTTGAATTATACATGGCATTGTGTTTTTTAGGGTGGAAGGAAAAGTTCATAAACTTAACAGAAAATGTCTTGACAGAAATTTAGTTTTTGTTTTTACATGGCATGTTTTCTTACTGTGTATGAGTGACACACTTAAGTTTAATAGCTAGAGCTTTGTTTAAATCAAACTAATCCATAGTATGAGCAGATGCAACAGTGATGCTTGCGTAAGAAAGCTCCAGTGGTTTGTGTTGGAAACAGGCGTTTGTCTGAATAAGCACTTTCAGATTTGACTGTGAGGCAGAAATGTGCTTTTGAAGAAACAGCTGTCAATAAAAAATAGGGCCCAGATATACTGTGTTAATATGAAGGGAGTTTCTATATTAATTGTTTTATAGGTGTTTTACTCATATTTTTGAATTATACATGGCATTGTGTTGTTTTTTAGGGTGGAAGGAAAAGTCCATAAACTTAACAGAATATGTCTTGACAGAAATTGTTTTCTTACTGTGTATGAGTGACACACTTAAGTTTAATAGCTAGAGCTTTGTTTAAATCAAACTAATCCATAGTATGAGCAGATGCAACAGTGATGCTTGCGTAAGAAAGCTCCAGTGGTTTGTGTTGGAAACAGGCGTTTGTCTGAATAAGCACTTTCAGATTTGACTGTGAGGCAGAAATGTGCTTTTGAAGAAACAGCTGCCGTCACATACGGGCTCGAATCTGATAAGAGTTGCTGTTTTAGTGCTTTCCCGCAGACATGCCTTCAAATGCACTACCTTTGCTGTAGTTTTTCCGCTTGACGTCTGTGTTTTTGTCTGTCTGTGCAGGGTGTGTTGGAGAGTTTTGTGGGGACGGCGTTGGCTGGGGCTGTGTTCTGTCTGTTTGCGGGTCAGCCTCTCACTATCCTGAGCAGCACCGGACCCGTGCTCGTCTTTGAGCGCCTGCTCTTTAACTTCAGCAAGTGGGTGTCACATACACACAGAGACATACTAAAGCATGTGCACACAAGAACATACGAAAATAATAAGGCATCGGCGGATGATTTTGTTAACAATAGCTGTTAGAAAAAATGTGATATGTGGTGAAATCATTACTACATTACTATATATATAAATACATTATATGTGACCCTGGAAGCTGAATAAATAAGCTTTCCAGTGATGTATGGTTTGTTAGGATAGGACAATATTTGAAAATCTGGAATCTGAGGGTGCAAAAAAATCAAAATATTGAGAAAATTGCCTTTAAAGTTGTCCAAATGAAGTTCTTAGCAATGCATATTACTAATCAAATCATTAAGTTTTAATATATTTACAGTAGAAAATTTACAAAATATCTTCATGGAATGTGATCTTTACTTAATATCCATGATTTTTGGCATAAAAGAAAAATCTATAATTTTGACCCATACAATGTATT